AATGTAAGATGTTAATAAGAGAAACTGGGTGTGGGTATGTGAAAAACTCTCTGTACTATCTTTGTAATAATTCTGTAAGTTTAAAACTATTCTCAAATTAAAAGTTTATTTTAAAATAAGAAAAAGATATTCACTGCCAATTTGGCCAAATTAAAATTCTGTTATGAGCAATAATTTCAACTGTTCAAAGACTTGTATTCCTTCTTCAGGCATATTTTTAAATAATTAGAAGACAGAAAAACAAAACCTCAAGCTTGGAGAACAGAGGGGAGAAGGGAAGGGGAAACCAGAAATCCTCCAAGGAAGCACAGAATCCTAGATGAGTCCCACCGGTCCTATCACCCTGGCAACTTTTTGCCTTGAAAAGGCAAGATTGTACACAGCATCTCTTCCATCCATGGGAACGGGAGAAGGATTGGAAAGGACTGTGGTAACAGGAACTCTGGTATCATTCTTATTCAATCAAGGCTTTCCCTGCATGTTACAGCCCCTCTGAAGAACTCTGTGGCCCAAACTACCCTAAGGTCCCCAAAGCCCAAAGAAACATTTGAGGTCTAAATAGTTATTTCTACTAAAACCAGGGAGCTCTGATGGTCTAGTGGTAAGCTGTGCTGCAATCTTGAAGGCATGCAATTCAAGTTCACCTGCTGCTTTGTGGGAGAAGGATGGGAAATTTCCTCCTGTGTGATTAACTGTTTCTGAAAAGCCATTGGAGAGTCAGCTATGGGCCAGTTCCAACTTAATGATACATACAACAACAACTAAAAATAGTTGGACAAGAACTAAAGAAGTATAAGCAGACTTCATTTTCTTGCACTTTAGAGAAAGTCTATTTTCTTACAAACCGATGCTTTGTAAAAATCCCGTGTTAAGAAAGTCTAGCTCTGGGTTACAGACCCTCACCCTGCTTGTTCTCACTGCACCTGTGCCAGCTGCAGCCATGCTGTTTTTTTGAGAAATGTCTTTTTCACTCTTTCTGAGTGTTCTTTGCTTGGTAGTAGCTTCAGCTACTTCACAGCATGATCAAAGTTTAGATGAGCAGCGGTTTAAGTGGAAGTCAACATACAAGAGACCCTCTGACACGAATGAAGAAAGCTGGAGGAGAATAATTTAGGAGAAAAATGTGAAGATGATTGAATTGCACAATCAGGAGGACAGCCAGGGCAAACATGGCTTCTCACTGGACATGAATGCCTTCAGGGACATGATCAATGAAGAATTCAGGCAGGTGATGAGTGGCTTTAAAAACCAGAAGCACAGGAAGGAGAAGGTGCTCCAAGAATTTCCCTCAGATAATATCCCCAAATCTGTAGACTGGACTCAGAAGGGCTATGTGACTCCTGTGAAGAATCCGTGTCACTGTGGTTCATATTGGGCTTTTGTGCAACCGGTGCCCTTGAAGGACAAATGTTCCGGAAAACTGGCAAACTTGTTCCATTCAGGGAACAGAACCTGGTGGACTGCTCGCTGCCTAAAGGCAATGAAGGTTGCAATGGTGGCCTAATGGATTATGACTTCAAGTATGTTCAAGACAATAAAGGCCTTGATTCTGAGGAATCCTATCCATATCTTGGAACAGACACTGAAGTCTGCCACTACAAGCCCGAGTTTTCTCCTGCCAGCTTCACTGGCTTCGTGGACATCCTTTACAAAAGAACTGATCCTTTGGGAAAGAATTTATTGGAAAGAATTGATGACCTACAACCAGGAGAAGATAAAATAGATGAATGGGATCCTCTAAAAATCAAATCCGTATGCATATCTAAAAACTTCTCCAACAGGGTAAAAAGGGAAGCCACCAACTGGGAAAAAGTATCTGGTAATGACATATCAGGTAAGGGACTTATATCCAGAATTTATAAAATACTTGAGCACCACAACAAGATAAAGGGAAATAATCCAACAGAAAAATGGGCACAGGATATGAACAGACACTTCACTGAAGAAGACATTCAGATGGCTAACAAGCACATGAAGAAATGTTCAAAATCCCTAGCTCTAAGAGAGATGCAAATCAAAACAACTATGAGATATCATCTCACCCCAGTCAGAATAGCAAAATTTAACAGAACAGCAAGCAACAAATGCTGGCGAGGTTGTGGAGAAACTGGAACCCTTATTTACTGTTGGTGGGAGTATAAAATGGTGCAACCACTATGGAAGGCGGTATGGTGCCTTCTCAAAAAGTTGCAAATAGAGATACCATTTGACCCAGCAATTCTGCTACTGGGAATATACCCCAAAGAGACCATAACTGACATCCAAGCACATATATGCACACCCATGTTTATCACGGCTTTGTTCACAATAGCAAGGAATTGGAAACAACCTAAGTGCCAATCCACAAACGAATGGATAGAGAAGCTGTGGTATATTCACACAATGAAATACTATGCTGCATTGAAAAACAAGGAACTCATGCAATATTATTCAAAATGGGTGACTCTGGAGGACATTATGCTGAGTGAAGTATCTGAGTCACAAAAGGACAAATATTGCATGGTGCCACTGTTGTAAAACAGGACTGACCTTGGGGTTGGGGAGAGACTGAGAAAGATGGGTTCAATAATGTATACTGCATTGAAACAGATGAGGGAGAAAACTGTTTAAAAGGGATATGTGATTAGGTATTTTTGTCATGACAGGAGTCTAGAGCGAAGGCTACATGACCTGGGCGAGGGCTTGTAAAACAATGAAAGAGTTTTTCTTTTACTTTTCCAAGAGGGTAGTGTACTAGGGGGGAGGGTTGGGAGGGGAGAAAAGTGCAACAATGAATGGAAATCCAAAGTCTCTGTAAATTTCTACTGAAATTAATAATAAATTTAAATTAAAAAAGAAACTAAAAAAATTTTAACACACACCTACAATTGCACACCCCTCTCCAATAAAAAGAAATTAATTATCATTTATTTTAAAAAAAGAAAGAATTGATGAAGGCACTGGCATGTGTGGGTCCCCTCGCTGTTGCTACTGAGGCTGGTCTTATGCGCTTACAAGTCAGGAATTTATTTTGATTCATCCTGCATCAGCAAGCAACTGAACCATTGTGTTTTGTTGGTTGTCTATGGCTTGGAAGAAACAGATTCTGACAGCAGTAAGTTGTGGTTTGTCAAGAACAGGTTGGTCCAACTTGGGGTGCAAAGAGGTACTGAAACAACCACTGTGGAATTGTCACTGCAGCCAGGTACCTTGTGGTGTCTTAATTGATGAAGGATCCAGGACCACCTTTCTGAATGGATTTTACCTTAAAATGAACAATCTTTATTGTCTGGGATAAAACACTTTAATTATTAAGGATACATTGTGATTTGAATCCTGTGACATTTTTACACTAGTAGAATCTTACAACTCTATAAACAGTTTTGTAATACTGACTTCTTAATGCTTAAGACTTTTTAATGTAATTTAAAAAAAAAATGTGTGTAAAGTCTTAACCTTTTAAAATAAAACTTATGTTTCCTATGTTAAAAAAAGTCTATTGGTACCATTTTCCACACAATGTGTGTTTACATCTCTGTGTCACCTTTTAGTAATTCTCCCAACATTCAAAGCTTTTTCATACTACTACTGTACACTTACTGGATTATAGTATGCTGTACACATAGCTTTTTCTATTGACTGGGAAACAAATAAAAGTCATGTGACTCATTTTAATGTAATATTTTCTTGGTGGGCTGGAACCAAATCTCCAGTATCTCCAAAGTATGTCTCTATGTTGATATTACGATGTTGTTGTTGTTGTATGCTACTGAGTTGCTGCAACTCATAGCAATCCTATGTACATTAACTCTGAAACCTGCCCTATCCTGAGCCAATCTCATTGTCTGTGAAAGACCCAATCCCATTTCTCCAGTCACTGAGTCAATCCGTCTCATCCTGGGTCGTCTTCTCCTGCACGGTCCCACCCTCCCAGGCATGATGTCCCTCTCTCTCCAAGGACTGGTCCCTCCTGGCCACGTGCCCAAAGTATATGAGATGGAGCCTCATAATCCTTGCCTCCAGGAAGCTGCCCAGTTTCACCCTCTCCAGGACAGACTTGCTTGTTCTCCTGGCAGTCTGTGGTATGTTCAACACTCTCCTCCAGCACTACAGCTCAAAGGCATCGAACCTTCTTCTATCATACTTAGTTATTGTCCACGTCTCTGATGCATAGCAATTGCAAAGACCATAGCCTGGATCAGGTGCACCTTAGTCTCCACACTGACACTGTTGCTCTTCAGTACTCTAGAAAGGTCCCTGACAGCAGATTTTTCCCAATGAAAGTCATCTTTTGATTTCCTGACTAGGTGAAGTTATTAACAATCTCAATCAATCTCTTCTCCAACCATCATGAAGCTGTTAATTGGCCCAGTGGTGAGAATCTGTTTAAAAATATTTGCTTTGTTGTTGTTGTTAAAAAAAAAAGGTGCATTTATAAGTAATAAATAAATGTTAGTGTTCGAATAAAGAAGATTTGATAGGTGTTTTTGGTTTTGGTTTGTTTTCACTGAAACCTGTTCCTGAATGGATTGTGTTCTCGGTCCCTGTTCTTTGAAGAACGCATGCTTAAGGAAAACTTGCCAACTATAATCAAAGATATTACCCTTCTTCCCTGGTTCAGTTATCAGAACCCAAACAACAGAGTCTACAAAGGAGACTGAAGCAATGGCTTCAGTCAGCTTTATATCTTTAAATGTCAACCTTTAAAGATAGTAAATGAAAACTAAAGCAATCCATACTTTAAAAATTTGTCATAGTAATTAAAATCTACCTATTGACCCTACTTTCCAAGAAGCTGGCCTATTTAATAGCAAATTAGAAAACCAAAATTCTCTAAAAAAATATTCAACATACTATACGGTAACCATAAACATAAAATGTTTTACATACACTGTATGCGTCAGTCTGGAAGAACATGTATGGTTGAGTCTAGTCATAGTCTAGGGTGAGAGGTCAGTGTACAGCCTCCCAAAAGATGATGGCGGGAAAGCAAATAACAAGTGTAATGACTTACTACCTACGGGAATGAGATGAGTGGGCTGGGATTCTTCCAGTTTGTTCCTCAACCAGTCAAAATCCTGGTATCTTCGACGAACAGAATATTCTGGCAGGTCAAACTCTACCCGAGTACTCTGCAAATAAGAAGAGAATGGAAAAGAAATAAGCATAGGGAGTAGTAACAGATCTTGGCTGAAAAGCAGGGGAAAAAGTTCTCTTAGAATAACCACATGGGGTAAGAACACACTTTAGTTCCACAAACATACTTGCCAAATGGCAGAGTTTACCAACATAGAATGTGGCGTCCTGGCCACAGAGCCCAGTTAAAAATTTTAAAAACCTACAATTAAAATGTCCAGGATATTTTCTTTTTTAAAAAAATTTTTTCCTACCCTTAGGAAATTGGATTCAACTCCTTTACCATACGGTGTATAAGCATTTTATTCACTTTCTCTGAACTTAACTTTGAATTCTTTAACCAGAATAATTCCACAAGAGATGATATTGCTACTGAACTCTGTGACTCTGTGAACGAATTCCTGTCTCTTCCTTCTGCTAAATTTGCTGTGCTAAATCTTGCCAGAGGCAGAGAGGGAAAAAAACAAACAAAAAGTAAAGATATCAGATTGCTGCTCATTTATGAGCCAGAGTAGATAAAAATAAAAATGCTTTTGCTTAATTCGCTAGATTCTGCCAGGACCATAACCTTAAAACTGTACTATATTTCAGATACATAAGAAAAATATGGATGGAAAGAATTGTAAATTGCCATTGTACAGCAGGAAAATATTAACACTCCCGTGTACTTTCCTACATTTTTAAGTGTTTCTGAAATGGAACCGACTGTGCAGTATTTTAGAAAATTAAATAAAATTAAGTTGATTTTATATCAAAAGATTTTTATGTACTAATTTGTGCAAACTGAAATTCAGTCTCAGTTCACATTCATCTGAGCTCCAGTTCTTGGACTTACATCAGCAGCCTGTTGTACTGCCTGTTGATCTTAGGATTTGTTGGCCTCCAGAGCATATGAGTAAGCAGCCTGTCAAATAACCTGCCAATTTTGGGTCTGTCAGCTTCTGTAGTTACAGAGGAGCCTTCAACCTGACGTCTGAGCCATGACCTTGAGATGTGCCAGCTTCTATAACCACGTGAGCCATTTTCTTGAGTTTGATCCATCATCAACAATCTAGAGTCTCTCTCTACCCAGCTTGCTTGCTTCTCTCTCTCTCTCTCTCTCTCTCACACACACCCCCACACACCCCCACACACCTGGTTTTCTTTCTCTATAGGGTCAGACCTACAACAAGTAATAAAAGCTTATTTGAAAGCACATCAGCAAAGTACTGCCAGCAGTCCAGGCTGGGTTTAGAAGGGGTTGTGGTACTAGGAATATTGTAGCTGATGCTAGATGGATTTTAGCTGAAAGCAGGGAATACCAGAGGAATGTCTATCTGTGCTTCATTGATTATGCAAAGGCGTCTGACTGTGTGGATCATAACAAACTGTGGCTGACTCTGAGAAGAATGGGAATCCCAGAACACTTGATCATTCTAATGAGAAACCTATACTTGGATCAAGAGGCAGTCGTCAGAACAGAGCAAGGATACACTGCATGGTTTAAAATTGGGAAAGGTGTATGGCAGGGATATGTCCTATCTCCATACCTTTTCAATCTGTATGCAGAACAGTATATCTGAGAGGCTGGACTCTATGAGGAGAAGTGTGGCATCAGGATTGGTGGAAGATCTATTAACAATCTGCGTTACGCAGATGACACAATCCTGCTTGCTGAAACTGAGGAGGACCTGAAATGCTTGCTGCAGAGGGTCAAGGACTGCAGCCTTCAGTATGGATTGAGGCTCAATGTCAAGACGACAAAGATTCTCACCACTGGACCAATTGGCGGCATCAGGATGGATGGTGAAGAGATTGAGATTGTTAACAACTTAAGTCTGCTTGGCTCCACAGTAAACACTCTTGGCACCAGTAGCCAGGAAATCAAAAAACATATTGTGATGGGAAAGTCTGCTGTTAGGGACCTCTCCAGGGTACTGAAGAGCAATGGTGTCACTCTGGAGACTAAGGTGAGTCTGGTACAGGCTATGGTCTTTGCAATCACTTGTTATGCATCAGAGAGTTGGACAATGACTAGGGAGAATAGAAGGAGAATTGATGCCTTTGAGCTCTGGTGCTGGAGAAGAGTATTAAATGTACCATGGACTGCCAAGAAAACAAACAGATTCGTCCTGGAAAGGGTTAAACCGGGCGGCTCCTTGGAGGCAACGATTCTGAGGCTTCGTCTGACATACTTTGTCATGTTGCAAGGAGGGAGAGGTCCTTGGAGAGGGACATCATGCTTGGGAGGGTGGAGGGATGGTGCAATAGGGGAAGACCCTCTATGAGGTGGATTGATTTAGTTACTGGGGTAATTGGGATGGGTGTGTCAGAGGCAGTGCGACTGGCAAAGGAGTTGTACACAGGGTTGCTATGAGTCGCAAGCGACTCGACGGCACATAACAACAACAACAACAACAAAGTGTCTGGTGGCCTAGTGGCAGGAAGCTGAGCTGCAATCCCAGAGGTTTGTGGTGCTCTGCTGGAGAAGGAGGGACAATCTCCTCCTGTACCTGTCAGATTCGATTTGATGGGACACATACAAAATAATAAAACAAAACAAAAAAAAATTTTTTTTTAAACTGTAAGTAAAAACCAACAGAAAAGAGAGAGATGCTCAGAATCTCTCATTCAGTATTCTGCTTATTTTTACCACAACTTTTTCTAGAAAATATAACAATACATTAAGTACAATCAAATGACATAAATCAGAAGTAGGTGAGGAGGGGAAAAGAAGGACAAACAAAGACACAGAGAGATAAAGCAGAGCTAGGAATAAAACTAGCAAAGTAACTGTGGAGTGTGGTGCACTTTTCCAATTAGGCCACAGATATGACTTATGGATTTCCAGGGTAAAATTAAGTTATGGGACTTGAAGCATTTCTAAAATACATAGGCCAATAAAACATCAACTAGGAGTTTGTAGTATAATTTTCCTCTGAATATCAGGTTCCGACTTAGAGAAGAAAATCGTTAAGATAAATATGTTTATATCTATTTTCCAGTATCTGTAAACAAAAGATACTCTTGGTGGCACTGTGATTAAGGCATTTTATTTCTAACTAAAAAGTTGGCAGTTAGAATGAGGCGATCTACTTCTGTGAAGATTTAGAATCTTGGAAACTTTATATGGCAGTTCTATTCTTCATTACCGAACTGAGTCAAAATTGACTCCATCTCAGTGGGTTTTGTTTTGGTTTTGTAGTAAGCAATTTTTTTTTTAAAAAGAGAGAGGCACACCCCCCCACTCTAACCAATACTTGCTACATTTCACACTTTTCAATTTCTACTACCTTCAACTTTTCAGTCTGTTTGAACCGAAAGTTCTTTCTCATTCGGTCCATCTGTCTTTACTTCTTCTCTATTTCGCTTCAATGCCATGGCTCATAACTTAAAACCTTTACATAGCAATATTCTAAAAGCCACTTCCCTACTGTCTATTCACCCAACTGTGGCAAAAATGTAGCCATCACTTCTTACTATATGTATGTGGGTACTGCTAGAAGGAAAACAAAACCAGGCAAGTACATGGACCGACACAAAAAATTCCAGATCTCCAACAGGATCTTCAGTACTACCAAACAATCCTTATACCTCCCTAAATCAACTCTGTTCCTCATCTTTCACCTTAGTTATTAATAAGCCAAGTGCTGTTAGATGCTGCTGACACAATTACAATCCATAACAATTCAAGATCAGAATCTTGCCCTATCTTGTACTATTCTCACAATCTGTGAGAAAATCTGTGAGGAAAATTTTATTACAAACTCATAATTGATGTTTTATTCCAAATCCATTGCTGTAGTCACTGGTCAAATGATCTAGCTGACAGTCTTCCTCTCTTTTTACTGACCCTACACCTTCCCTAGCATTATACACTTTTCCAAGCACTACCTCCTCCTGATAATATGCCCAAAGGATGTGGAACACAGCTTCACCATCTTTGTCTCTAAGGAGTACCCTGGTTGTACATCCTTCAAGACAGATTTGTTTATTCCGTTGGCAGTCTATGTTACACAAAATACTCTACCCCAACACCACAACTCAAAGGCACAGATCTTCTTTGGTCTTCCGCATTTATTTGCCCAGCTTCTGGATGCACAGGAAGCAACTGAAAGCCGTGGCTTGCATTGGGCATACCTTGGTCTTTAACCTGATATCACTGTTCCTTAGCACTTTTAAGGAGGTCCTTGACAGTCGTTTCCCCAGCATAACACATCTTTTGATTTCTTGACAGTTGCTACTAGGGGCACCGAGTATGGATTCAAGTAAAATGAAATTGCTAACCATTTCAATCTTCCCTCTATCTAGTATGATATTGACCATTAATTCAGAGGTAAAGACCTTAAAAAAAAACAACAACAACCTAGTAGAAGTTTTAAAAACCTCTAAGACCCTATTTAAACTTCCTCCCAAAGCTTATTAGAAAATGTTGTCATCTATATACAGAGAAAACTGCAGCTGTAAGCAAAGAATTCCTCAACTTCCTGACACAAAACTTATAAACTTTCCTTCATTCCTCCCCAAACAGAGGTTCCTCCACCATCTGAGTCAATCCCCCCAGGCCTGCTCAGGATCCTCTCTCCTTGCACCTTCTCAATGGCTTTCACCTCACTTATCACCCAAAGTCACTTCTCAAGCAACACTGTCTACCTGACACAAACACGTTCAAATCACTTCTGTCCTAAAACAAGAAAATAAACACAAAACCTTCATTTAAACTCATACCTCTCATCCAGCTACTGGTCTTTCTCTATTCTTGCCATCATTACCTAGCTACAAACACTCATTATGTCTTCTTTTTCTTACTTCTCATTCACCCTAACCCCCTGCAAACTGGGTTCTGCCTCCTACATCAATGAAACTGTTTTTACCATTGTCACCAATGACCTTTTTTACTATTAAATCTTTTAATTTACAATCCTTAACTAGTATTGGCTTCTGTACAACCTTTGGACTCAGCTGACCACTGCAGCATCTAAGCAGAGAAACTAGTCAGGCCCTCTGACTGGTGATG